AGTGGTGAGAGTGGGCACCCTTGTCTTGTTCCTGATTTCAGGGGAAATGCTTTCAATTTTTCACCATTGAGGGTGATGCTTGCTGTGGGTTTGTCATATATAGCTTTTATTATGTTGAGGTATGTTCCTTCTATTCCTGCTTTCTGGAGAGTTTTAATCATAAATGGATGTTGGATTTTGTCAAAGGCTTTCTCTGCATCTATTGAGATAATCATATGGTTTTTATTTTTCAATCTGTTAATGTGGTGTATTACATTGATTGATTTGTGGATATTGAAGAATCCTTGCATCCCTGGGATAAAGCCCACTTGGTCATAATGTATGATCTTTTTAATATGGTGTCTTTTTCTTTTTTTTGCCATGTCACAAGGCATGTGGGATCTTAGGTCCCCTACTAGGGATTAAACCTGGGCCGCAGCAGTAAAATTGCTGAGTCCTAGCCACTGGACAACCAGGGAATTCTCCACAAATGTTCTTAATGGCCTCTAGGATGGTGAATACTTTTCAGAAGGTTCTCAATTGACTTTACCCAGATCCATCCAAGGAATCACTAAGTATGGCAGCTATAGTCTTAAGAAGTGTATTTGTTAAAAAATAAGAATTGAAAGTCAAAATGACTCCTCGATATGTGGGCTGCAGAATGTTGTGTTAGCAGGCATGTAAACAACCCTAATCTTGTCCATCTCCATTAGAACTCTTGGCTGGCTAGTTGATTGTCAATGAGCAGTAATATTTTGAAAGGGATCATTTTTTCTGAGCAGTAGGTCTCAACAGTGGGCTTAAAATACTCAGTAAAACACATTGCTATCAGATAAGCTGTCATCCAGGCTTTGTTGTTCTACATACAGAACACAGGCAGAATAGATTTAGCATAAATCTTAAGGGCCCTAGGATTTTTGGAATGGTAAGTGAACATGGGCTTCAACTTCAAGTCACCAGCTCCATTAGCCCCTAACATGATGTCAGCCTGTCCTTTGAAACTTTGATGCCAGGCATTGATGTCTCTCCAGACTGAAAGTCCAAGATGGCATCTTCTTTCAACATAAGGCTGTTCATCAACATTGAAGATCTGTTGTTTAGAGTAGCCACCTTCATTAATTATCTTAGCTAGAGCTTCTGCATAACTTGCTGCTTCACCTTGCACCTGAATATTATCGAGATGGCTTCATGCCTTATACCTTATGAACCAACATTTGCTCACTTCAAATTCTTCTTCTGTGGCTTCTTCACCTCTCTGAGCCTTCATAGAATTGAAGGAAGTTAAGACCTTGCTCTGGATTAGGGTTTGGCTTATGGGAATGTTGTGGGTGGTTTGATCTTCCATCCAGACCACTTAAACCTTCTCCATAGCAGCAATATGCCCGTTTTGTTTTCTTACCATTCATGTGTTCACTGGAGTAGCACTTTTAATTTCCTTCAAGAACTTTTCCTTTGCAGTCACAACTTGGCTAACTGTTTGGTGCAAGAGGCTAAGCTTTTTTTGGCCCCTCTCAGCTTTCCATGTGGCTTCCTCATTAACCATTTGTAGCTTTTGATTTAAATTGGGAAACATGAGTTGTTGTTTGCTATTGTGAGACACATGAGACGTTTCCTTTTACTTGAACACTTAGAGGCCCCTGCAGGGTTATCAACTAGCCTGATTTCAGTGTTGTCGTGTCTCAGGGAATGAGGGCCGGGAAGAGGCTTCAGGGAAGGAACAGAGGGAATGGCTGGTTGGTGGACCAGTCAGAACACACATATTTTTGATTAAATTCAACATCTCATATGGGTATGGTTCATGACACCCCAAAACAATTACAGTGGTAATATCAAATATCACTCACTGATCACACTTCAGTATGAATACAAATAACCTCAGATACACAGATGATACCACCCTTATGGCAGAAAGTGAAGAAGAACTAAAGAGCCTCTTGATGAAAGTGAAAGAGGAGAGTGAAAAANGGATGAGATAGTTGGATGACATCACTGACTCAATGTACATGAATATGAGCAAGCTCCGAGAGTTGGTGATGGACAGGGAGGCCTGGCATGCTGTATCCAGTCCTTTGGGTTGCAAAGAGTTGAACATGACTGAGCAACTGAACTGAACTGATCACATATCACGAAAAAAAAACACAATAATAAGGAAAAAGCTTGAAATATTTTGAGAATTATCAAAATGTGACAGAGAGACATGAAATGAACCACTGCTGTTGGAAAAAATGGTGGTGATAGACTTGCTTGAACTTTCAATCTGTAAAATCACATCATCTGTGAAGTCAATAAAGTGAAGCACAATAAAAAGAGAGACATGCCTGTAACTCCTGGAGCATAAACATGAAAGGATTGACTTTTGTTATTCATGAACAAGACTCTTTCAACAACACCTGAGATTATGTTAATATCATTATTTCGGAAATCCCCTAAAAAGGGGCACTGGTTACCAGGAGAACCAATCACGTGATCAGAACTTGGACCTTTCAGTCCCCTGCATCCCACTACCTTAGAGGAGGGGAGAAGGGTTAGAAGTTGCATTAATCACCATTTGCCAGTGACTTACTCAGTCGTGCTTGTGTAAGGAAGCCCCCATAAAAGCTCTAACCAAACGTGTTCGGACTGCTCCGGGGCTGGTGAACACATCTATGTGGTAGGAGGGTGGCCCTTTCCAAACTTCAAGGGGACAGGAACACCTGTGCTTCGGACCCATCAGGGCCTTGCCCTGTGTGTCTCTTCCTCACTGTTCACTTGGACCGCGAGTCCCCTACATATGACCTTCAAGTTGTGAGCCTCCAAAGACGTGGATATGCCTCTGCATGTCCAGTCACATAAGTTAGTTCACGTGTCTGGCGTACATTGTCACATGCATGCATCCTCTGCAAATGGTGGTGCTTTTGCATACTTTACAATTTGACTAGAGTAGTACAGTATCTTTACTTCAAGACCAGAATGTTCACCCAGTGCCAGCCCTTGTATGCCAGCACTGTACTATTCTACTTTCCAAGTGTTAGTCGCTCAGTCATGTCTGACTCTTTGGGACCCCATGGACTGTAGCCCACCTGTCTCCTCTCTGTCCTTGGGGTTCTCCGGGGAAGTATACCAGAGTGGGTTGTCATTCCCTTCTCTAGGGGATCTTCCTGACCCAGGGATTTCCAGCACTGTAGGCCAATTTTAGGGAGGATTAAAAATGTTTTGTTTCTGTATTTGTTATGTATTATTTGTGTGAAAAGTATTACAAACCCATTACAGTACAGTGCTATATAGCTGATTGTGTTAGCTGGGTACCTAGGCTAACTTTGTTGGATTTAATGAACAAATTGAACTTACGAACATGCTCTTGAACTCATTCATATGTAGGGGACTTACTGTATCCTTTAAAGTATCTTTTGTAATAAATCAGTAGTAGTAAGTAAATGTTTCCTGAGCTGTTCTAGCAAATTACTGAACCTGAGGATGGGTTGTAGGAACCCCCTATTTGTAGCTTTTTGATCAGAAGTACAGGTGACAACCTGGGACTTGGTGGCTGAAGTGGAACAGGCGTGTGGGACTGAGCCCTTAACTTGTGGGGACTGTGCTAATTCCTGGTGGTTAGCGTCAGAATAGACCTGGTTGGTGTCCAGAGAACTGAAGAATTGGTTGATGTGGGAAAAGCCGTCACACATTTGATGTCAGAAGTGATATGAAAGTGTAGGAAAACTAAGCTTTCTTCTAATACTTTGTAGAAATTAGAAAAGATGCAACCCCATGCTTCAGAAAGATGCAACCCATTACTGGGATGTAGGGCATGGTGAGTGAACCACAGAGTGGATTTGAGTTCTCACTGCCCCCCTTTGCAGGTGCCCTTGTCTAGTAAGCAGTCTGTACAACTGGACATGGTGACCCTGATGGGAGCACCTTCCAGGTGGGGTTTTGGGCCAAGCGCCTACCTAGGTCTTTACACTCACGTTACTGATGCTGTTTGATGTCTGCTGGTTGAACAGCCTTGGCTCAGTCTTCCCTTCTTCTTCTCTTGGAAGAAAAGATGTGTCTAAAGGATCCAGCCCTTCTGATGAGTCAGGCCCATATCCTGGAAGTCCTCTGTGCTGATGGTGCACATTATAATCTTTGCTCCTTTGAAAAAAAGTAAAACAGCAGGACCAAACTATAAGAAAAACTCTGGCGTACACACCACTATATGTAAAATAAACAAGAGAATTTGCTGTATATCACAGGGAACTATAGATGATACCTTGTTATAGCCTACAATGGAAAAGAACCAGAAAAATAAAGTTGTGTATAATTGAATCATTTTGCTGCTCACCTGAAATTAGATCACAGCCTTGTCGTGGCAAAGGGGCTTGCATGACTCAATGAAGCTATGAGCCATGCCATGCAGGGCCACCCAAGACAGAGGGGTCATAGTGAAGGTTCTGACAAAATGTGGTCCATAGGAGGAGGAAGTGGCAACCCACTCCACTATACTTGCCTAGAGAACCTCATGAACAGTTTGAAAAGGCAAAAATGACACCCGAGATTAGACCTCCAGATTGGAAGGGGTCCAATATGCTATGGGGGATAGCAGAGGGCAATTACTAATAGCTCCAGAAAGAATGAAGCGGCCGGGCCAAAGCGGAAACAATCCTCAGCTGTGGATGTGTGTGGTGTTGTAAAGAACAATATTGCATAGGAACCTGGAATGTTAGGTCTGTGAATCAAGGTAAACTGGACGTGGTCAAGCAGCAGATGGTAAGATTGAACATCGACATCTTAGGACTCAGTGAACTACGATGGACGGGAATGGGTGAATGTAATTCAGATGACCATTATATCTACTACTGTGGGCAAGAATCCCTTAGAAGAAATGGCCTTCAGAGAGAACAGAAGAGTTCAAAATGCAGTGCTTGGGCACAACCTCAAAAGTGACGGAATGAGTGGGTCGTTTCCAGGCAAACCATTCAACATCATCGTAAATCAACTATACCTCAATTAAAAAGAAAGAGAAAAACTAGTGAACGAGGACGAGGGAAAAGGAACAAACACTGATTGGACAACTGTGTTCTGCCAGGCATTGCACTGTGGCGGGCATTTTACACACTTAGCCCTCTTTTTCTCAACACATCCCTGAATAAAGGAGATTAGAAAGTTTAGCCTTCACTTTTGGGGTTCTCTCAGGCTGAAGGGTCTTTTATCAGTGGCTTAGTTGAAGAAAAAGTGACCTTTAAGAAAGATTGTCAGAACATGAACCTATATATCCGTTTTTTTACACCCTCTGAATTGTATTCTTGATCAGATTCAGCCACCAAAGGCCACTGGTGTATGAGTATGATCCTGTGCAGGACCACTGTCACGGGCCGTGTGCCTGGAGGGCAGTTGACTTAATGTTCTCCAGGTAAAAATGTCACTATGACAGAACCACATGGATTCAGCAGTGGCTGCAGCAGGCCTGGTCCTGAATATTTTATTTTTTAGCTAAATCAGTATTATATTTACTGTGCTGGGATAGTACAGAGCCTTACTATAGAAACTTGAGAAATACTTGTCGAATGAGGTAAATGGAATTTCCTATAAATATACGAGTCTTTAAATCATTCAGTGTCACTCTATAAAAACCCATAGAAGTATCCTTTAGAATTTAGTGGTAGGAAAAGCTTTATTTCCCCTGAGGAATAAGCATGCTGCAAATGAGAACCATAAAACCTGATGGTGTTGCTCCTTTTTGGCTTTTTTTGCTTTCACATTCAGTCTGAAAGTCTGAAGTTTTCTATTTTTCAGTTTTCTCTCTTTTTTGAAAGCTTGAACTTTAGTCACTTATTGGAGATTGTTGATATTGTTTCTTTTCCTTCAGATTAAAAAAAAAATTTTTTTTTTTGGTATTATCTAGTCTTTTGTGTGTGTGTGTAGATAGGCGGGAGGGGGGATTATTATAAGCAGTTTAAATCCATTTTGGAGAAGATGAAATACAAAAGTTAAAAAGTGGAATTCTTCAGATAGCTGTCTCACCACCCAAGTGCCCGTCCTTCTTTATTCCTAGGGAACACCCAGCCTTCTTTTGACCCAGGAGGGAATCCTTATACCACAAGGCAGGTGAGGGAAGATTCACCAATCACTGAGGCTCATGGGAGGTCACAAGAGGCTGTCGTTCCAGCCGCTGCTGCCAAGCAAGGCTGAGGTCAAGTGACTAAGCCTGACTGGCTGAGCTGCTGGCTGATGAGCTCATAGCACATAGTCAGCACGTAGGAAGCACTTAATACATCTCAGCAGTTTATTAATATTAGTGGTCTTACTGATTTTACCCAGGGCTGAGTGAATGCTGAGAGGAGAAACCAAGGTTGAGCTGACAGACCTCAGCTTCCTGGGCATGGCCGGCTCAGACATGTGGAAAAATGGAGACAGTGGCTTCCACACGGTTTTGAGTTCAACTTGGCTTCTCACCCACCCAGGTTTAAGTAGGAAGCACATCACAATATAATCCTTCCCCCAAATCTTTGTTTCTTAGCCAGTAATTTAATCCTGGCTGCCAGAGCCTGTGGTTGGTTAGCTGAGGATCTTTATGTTGCTTAGAAAAAAAACAGAAATGAAGTTCATTAAAAGCAAAGAAAAACAAAAGTTGAGAAGTCCATGTTAGGATGGCTTTGAATACTTACGCCTTTTGGACAGTGTCTGCCTCAGGGGTCTGCACGTGCTCAGCCAGGGAAGCACAAAGAGGGTCAAGGGTCATATCCCTCGGCACTGGGTCTGCGAAGACAAAGAGCGTCCTGAATCAGCAAAGGACAGCAGGCGGGATCCCAGACACCGAAAACGTCTACCTGCTGAGCAGTCAACAGCATGCCAATTAGAACAATATGGTATGTTATACCTAGTAAGTTCGCAAATGCCGCAGAAACTAGAGCTGACACGTGGCAAGTGACATTAACATCAGTAAGCCCCATTGGGAAAGCGATGTGACAGTACATATCAAGATCTAGAAAAATGTTCTTGTCTTTGATCAGGAATCTTACTCCTGGGTATTATCATAAGGAAATAATTTAAAAGAAGAAACAAGCTTTTTGTACAAAGTTGTTCATTACAACATCATCAATAATAAAAAATTGGAAACAGCCAAACAACGGGAAATTTTCAATGCATTATTTTGACATTTAAAATTATGGTTGAAAAGATAAATCAGCAGTATGGAAAATACGGTATAATGACAAGTGAAAAATAGTAAACTATAGAATTGTGTGTTAAAGCTCTATAAAACATGTGTGTGGATGAATAAGAGCTGGAAGAGAAAACAGAAAGAGGAAATAATATGTTAAAGAGGTTTATATGTGTTTAAATTTTTTCTTAAAACCCCAGCGTGGTTATAACCTTGAAAAGAAAATTGATTAAAAAATTGTTATATTTTGAGGAAGGCTTATGCAGGCTATACAGCTATTGCTGGGTTCTCTGAAGACCATATTGGGTAGTTTTTAGAATGAGAAGAGTCTCCAGACTGACTTCATATTAGACTAGGATACTTTTTTTTTAAGGATACTTTTTATTTTAGTTACTTTAAACAATTTTTAATTATGAAAGATATATTTCATTGAAGAAAATAGGAAAACACAAGTATAAATAAGAATGCTCCCCTCAACACATAATTATTAGAATGACTAAAAAGACTGACTGTACTGAGAATTAACAAAGATCCAGAGGAACTGGAATGCTCATTCTCTGTTGGTTAGAATGTAAAATGGTACAATCACTTAGGAAAACAGTTTGACCATTTCTTGAAAAATTAAATGTTAAATATACCATATCACAGCAACTTTATTTGCAATAGTCCAAAACTTGCAACAACTGACATACCCATCAACAGTGAATGGATAAAATGCTAGTATATACATACAATGCAATGCTACTCAGTAGCAAGTAGAAAGGAAGTACTGATACACTCAACAATATGGATGAATCTCAAAAGAATTATGTGGAGTAAAAGCAACCAGACGAAGAATAGTATATATGGTATGCTTCCATTTATATAAACTCTAGAAAGTGAAAACCAGTCTATTGTGACAGAAAGCAGATTGGTTTGGAAATGAGAGAAACTGGTGTTAGAGGCTGGAAGCAGGAGAATCCTTTGGAAAAGATGAAATGTTTGTCTTGACTGGTTAGTTTCGTGAGTATAAACAGGTGTCAGAACTTACCCAGTAGATCTTGAGTTCTCATCACTAGAAAAAAAAGTAACTATGTGTGCTAACTGATGTTAACTGTGGTAACCATTTTGCAATATGTATCACATTGTTACATGGTACCTTTTAAACTAATTACAATGTTATATGTCAATTATATCTCCAGAAAACTAGAAGCTGCCCCTTCAAATCATAGCAATATTTAATGTTTCTATAGAAGGAAATTGATGGTTGAATAATTTTATATTCTACCAAATAATTATACATAATTAAAATCTAAGGAAAAGTGAAGTTGATTACATTAAAATCTTTATAGAAAAATAGCAATATTTAACACTTAAAGATAATTTATCTAGTTGTACAATTTAGGTGTAATTTATTATAAGGGTGTTTAAAAAGCTTAACAAAGTTAAATCATATTAACAAAGTTAAGATATATTAATACAAATAAAGTGTTTAAAACAGTGCTGCACTTGCTAAAAACAAGAACCAAGAAAAAAAAAAAAAGAACCCACCACCACCACAAAACCCCCAAAACCTAAAAAACCCTGACTCATGATCCCTCTACCTACATACAACTACAGCAAATATTTTGGTGTATATACTTTCATGCATATATAGTAAATATATACTCATATTTTAATAAGTTAATGAAATAATACATATAATTCAAATCTACTTTTATGTTATTAGAATCTCTCATATCATTAAATATTCTAAAAATGATTTTAATACCACCATGGCATTGCATCATATGGATACCATAATTGAGTCAACCAAATATGTAACTTTTAAAATTCAAGTTGTTTTGAATTTTTATAACTAAAATGTACTTTATATAGCATATGCTTATAAGGAATGTTTCTGTTTACCAAAGGACTTAATTCTCTGTCCACATATATTACTATTGAAGAATGTACAGTCTTGAGGGTAAAATGTCTATTGCTGAATTGTTTCCCAGAAAATTTGTACCAATTTACATGCCAAAGAAATGGTCATTCATTCCTTCATTTATCCAATGTTAATTAAATACCTGCTACATGATGGTCATTATGCTGGGTGCTGGAAATATAGTGGTGAGTAGGATGGATACACACCCTGGTCTCAGGAAGCTTAAATTTTAGTTGGGAAGATGGATACTAGCACAAAGTAAAAGAAAAATGAAATAATTAAAAAAGTTAAACTTTTTGAAAGGAAGACTCTAATATTCAATCCCCTCTCTCTTTGAGCAGTAGATTCTTGCATGAATTAATTGATTTTTCCTCAATTATGTTTATTTAAAGATATCATAACTTCAAAGAGCCTCTTGATGAAAGTGAAAGAGGAGAGTGAAAAAGTTGGCTTAAAACTCAACATTTAGAAAACTAAGATCATGGCATCCAGTCCCATCACTTCATGGCAAATAGATGGGGAAATAATGGAAACAGTGAGAGACTTTATTGTTTTGGGCTCCAAAATCACTGCAGATGGTGACTGCATGCATTAAATTAGAAGTTACTTGCTCCTTGGAAGAAAAGCTATGATCAACATAGACAGCATATTAAAAAGCAGAGACGTTATTACTTTGCCAACAAAGGTCCATGTAGTCAAAGCTATGGTTTTTTCAGTAGTCATGTATGCATGTGAGAGTTGGACCGTAAAGAGAGCTGAGTGCTAAATAATTGATGCTTTTGAACTGTGGTGTTGGAGAAGATTCTTGAGAGTCCCTTGGACTTCAAGGAGATCCAACCAGTCCATCCTAAAGGAGATCAACCCTGAATACTCATTGGAGGGACTGATGCTGAAGCTGAAACTCCTGTAGTTTGGCTACCTGATATGAAGAACTGACTCACTGGAAAAGACCCTGATGCTGGGAAAGATTGAAGGCAGGAGAAGGGGATGGCAGAGGATGAGCTGGTTGGATGGCATCACTGACTCAATGGACATGAGTTTGAGCAGGCTCTAAGAGCTGGTGATGGACAGGGAAGCTTGGTGTGCTGCAGTCCTCGGGGTTGCAAAGAGTTGGGCACGACTGAGCAACTGAACTGGTAACTTCAAAAAAAGATTTGAAAAGAAAAATTTGCCTGTTATTCCACCGGCATTATTCCCTTAACACTAGTAATAGTTTACTCATTTTTCAGTGTTCAGTGGTGTCCACACTGCCAGGCAGAGGAACGTGGGTTCCTTTCTGCTATTCCCAGATGTTAAGGATGGCATCTACTGTCTCATACGTTAACCTCCAGACTTTGCAGTGGGGACAAAATTGGCAATGTACGAGGTTGCTGAAGAAACTGGAAAGGTTGATTGGGCTGGTAGCTGGAATTTATTTTGTCTTGGATAGCATGTAAATATTAATAGAGAGTGGGAACTGATTTAAGTATTTTTGTGATTAAGAGGAATTCTGTGAGGGTTTCTTTCCCTAACTTCGCAGGCTCAGTAAAATCTGTCTCATGGGACAGATTTCACTGCTCTTCACCAGTTTTGAAATTTGGGACAGAGCACTATATGACCAGCAGAGGGCGCGTTTGTATTGCCCAAAAGCTGAAGTTTTTACAACTGGTGTGATTTCACGGTTTTGATTAGACGCAGAAGCGCAGCCGACAAGAGCGACCCCACAGCCAAGGTCAGAGGCGGCGGCTGCGCTTTGCTGGAGCAGCCGTGAAGAGATACCCCAGGTCCAAGGTAAGAGAAACCCAAGTAAGACTGTAGGCACTGAGAGAGGGCATCAGAGCGCACAGACTGAAACCACAATCACAGACAACTAGCCAATCTGATCACAGGACCACAGCCTTGTCTAACTCAATGAAACTAAAGTATGCCGTGTGGGGCCACCCAAGACGGACGGGTCATGGTGGAGAGTTCTGACAGAATGTGGTCCACTGGAGAAGGGAATGGCAAACCACTTCAGTATTCTTGCCTTGAGAACCCCATGACCAGCATGAACAGGCAAAAAGATAGGATACTGAAAGATGAACTCCCCAGGTCGGTAGGTGCCCAATATGCTACTGGAGATCAGTGGAGAAATAACTCCAGAAAGAATGAAGGGATGGAGCCAAAGCAAAA